ACATCGGCTCTGAATCGGATCCAAATACCACTACTTATACTTCACGCTCAGGACGACGGTATCGTTCCCTTCCATTTGGGACACAAACTGTACGAACAGTCACTTCGAGATCAGCCGAAAGAGTGTAGAAAAGCACAAATGGTTGCCTTCAATGGAGAGTTGGGTTACGGACACAAATACATATTCAAAGACTCACAACTCCCGCACATTATCAGCAGTTTTATCAAAACCAATGAATAGCGCATTTGGTATTTATTTTAGGCCTCATTTTTACCAATTTTAAGCAATTATTAAGCGATTATTTAATTTGTTTTTATGTTTTGATAACTCAAGAGTAGAGATTAGAAATTGAATTATGAAATTATTCACACAAAACAATCAGAGATTAATATTAATGTTTATTACTATTTGTTTTTAAAGATTTGCTAAATGTTTATAAAAATAAAGAGCTTATAAAAAAGTTTGTAAAATATTGTGTTTAAAAATCTCTTATATTCTAAAACTTAGAAAATTGGACTCAAATAAGACTTTCGGGTAAATCAAAGTCATACATCGGCTCTGAATCGGATCCAAATACCACTACTTATACTTCACGCTCAGGACGACGGTATCGTTCCCTTCCATTTGGGACACAAACTGTACGAACAGTCACTTCGAGATCAGCCGAAAGAGTGTAAAAAAGCACAAATGGTTGCCTTCAATGGAGAGTTGGGTTACGGACACAAATACATATTCAAAGACTCACAACTCCCGCACATTATCAGCAGTTTTATCAAAACCAATGAATAGCGTATTTGGTATTTATTTTAGGCCTCATTTTTACCAATTTTAAGCAATTATTAAGCGATTATTTAATTTGTTTTTATGTTTTGATAACTCAAGAATAGAGATTAGAATTTGTATTATGAAATTATTCACACAAAACAATCAGAGATTAATATTAATGTTTATTACTATTTGTTTTTAAAGTTTTGCTAAATGTTTATAAAAATAAAGAGCTTATAAAAAAGTTTGTAAAATATTGTGTTTAAAAATCTCTTATATTCTAAAACTTAGAAAATTGGACTCAAATAAGACTTTCGGGTAAATCAAAGTCAAACTTAAGGTTTGGCCAATTCGTTGATTGAAAGCCAATCACGCATTTGAGTGTTTCGATCGCAGATCCGTTATATTGTTTCAATGGCAGAGATTCCGGACATTTGCCCAAAAGTACAGAAACACATTCAGAAGCACACAATCCATTGGATATCAAATTGTATCCACCCTTAAGAGCATTATTTGCAAATTAATCACAATTTCATATACTATTCAATTAAAGACTCACTTCTAAGCACATGATTAGTTTGCCATTAGCTAAACGAGACAACATGTG